AACTCATATGTCATCGCACCTCATGAAATTTTGAAAGAACTATTGAAACTTTTGACAGAGGCAGACGATATAAACATCAAAGAAATAGAACCCGACATTGCTTGCTGTGGTGTTTCATACAATGTCATTGACAAGATCTACGTTATGAAAGGAGGTGAAACGTTGAACTTAAAATATAGTTTCCCAGACGTCATAAAAATATTTGACGACCACAACATTTCATTAAAGTTTGTTTGCTAAGTAAAAATGTCAAAACTTCTTGAAAGATGTTTGAAGAAAAACAATATAGACTTTATTTCATGTAAAGGACTTTACACACTTTTTGAACGATATGAAAGACCCTGTTTTGTTTGTTCGTGTAGACAAAGGAAAGTTCTATGTCTTTACAAAATATTTGAACTTCTTAGACAGAGAACTTCAAGAAACGCCATGTGAAAGTTTAGATGAAGTTCTTCTCCACTTTCAGAAAAACTTTTAAATATATGTAAATGGCAGAAGACATAGTTTTATACTATTACGACTAAAAACCCTGAGTCATATAATTCTATAACAACAAACTTACAAAGTCCTCAAGGACGATATTGTAAACTGACCTTAAACACGATGACGACTAAAGCCTGTTTTGCTCTTTTGACACCAGAAGATTTTTGTTGTGAATGGTAAAAAATACTCCTTTGAAGATACTTACTCAGATATACCACCAACAGGTTTTGTTGACTTATTTAATACTTTAAGGACGGATGTAACATGTGCTGCAACTAGAGCAGGTTTCATTATGTTTGGATGTCCGACTGAGTTTAGTATAAACGATATGAGCTATAATACAAAACTTATATCTGGTTTTTACTACCAACAGTTTCCTATAACAGGAAAAGGTGTCATACAAGGAATGTCTGTTCCATTGACTTTAAGTACACCTATTTTATATATTGTTTCAAACTTAGGTTCAAAGTGCTATTCGAATGTCGACAGAAACTACTATGACCAAAAGATACTCATGCGTATAAACAACACTTTCTCTGCTGGTTTGCCTATTGTTCATTCGAATGCAGAGTTTTCAGCTTTAGTAAACTCAAACACTTTAGCAAACATAAACTTAACCTTAGTTGACGCAAACTTTGTTCCTGTAAAACTTTTATGTCCTATGTATTTGTCAATGACGGCAGAAAGTTTCGAATTGGAAGATGCAACTGGTGAAAGTATTGTACTACAAGAACAACTTCAACAACAAATAGCTCAAGAACAACAAATGCAACAAATGGAACAAATGCAACAACAAATAGCTCAAGAATAAAAAAAATATTTTTTTTTATTTTTATAAAAAATGTACAGAATAGACGTTTCAGATTTTTATGACTTCCAAGCGTTCAGAAATATGTGTCCATTTAGAGACTATAACAAAGCAGTCGAGAATTTGAAACGTTTAGTCATTTATGTCGACTCTGCCCCAGAATGTTATGTCATGAAAGAATGGGATGTAGTCTTTAACAAACCAAGAGCGACAATAGTTTCAGAACAAGAATGTAAACAGAAACTTAAGAAAATAAAAGTCGTACAAGTTGGTATGAAGATGTTAGATGCTTGGGATATCTTATTGTCAAAGTTAGAAGATTTTTCAGTTCGTGGTATAAAGTTCTATACACCTTCTCCAAACTTCTATTCTATCTTCACTGGATATAAATATGAACAAGTAGAATGGAAAGAAAATTATAGAAGCTTGGTTAGACCATGTCAAAGAAATTATATGCAATGGAAACGAAAGAGTCTATGAGTATATCTTATGTTGGTTTGCAAACATCTTACAACATCCAAGTGCTAAAAATGAAACTGCTCTCATTATAATTGGAAAACAAGGAACAGGTAAGAACACTTTCTTTACAGATATCTTATGCAAACTGTTAGAGGGCTATTCGAACCCGAATATGACAAACTTAGAAAACATCTGCGGTAAATTTAACTCTTCAATAGAGAATATGAAACTTATAGTATGTAACGAACTTCAAAGTATAGATACAACAAAGGTTTTAAACTCGGATGCTTTGAAGAGTCTTATAACAGACAAAGTTGGAGTTGTTGAAAGAAATATAAAGACCAAAGAGTTTGTGAAAATGTTGCAAATTTCGTCATGGTTTCAAACAACGCCGTTCCGATGAAGTTAGAAAGTTCTGACAGAAGATATGTAGTTGTCAGAACGTCAGAAGCTCATATGCAAGATACAGAATATTTTGACGACTTAGCAGAAACTTTAACATCTGACTTTTACAACCACTTGTTCTCATATTTCATGACATTAGATATTTCAAGTTCAATCCAAGACAAATTCCACATACCGAAGAGAGACAAACATTGTTAGAAGCAAACAAGAGTGTATATGAACTGTTCATAGATGAAACTGACTTTGAGTGTTTAGATGAAAGGTCATTGTACGATTCGTATAAACAGTATTGTCAAGAGTATGGTTATATGACAGCGTCTAAACGAACATTCTTGGCAAATGTCAAAAGTCTTTTAGACATACAGAATGGTGTATATACAAAGAAAAATTTTTCTGAGTAAATTTTAAAAAAAATATTTTTTTTATCCGATAGAAAAGATGACGAAATTCATCTCAGTCAACAAGTACATGTCAGGACTTAAAGAAGAACTAGACCCATTCACATATTTGAATGTTTACTTCTACCATTTTGAAAAGTCTACATTTGACAAAGTTTGGAACATCGAACCAGTTAAGTTTGCTATTGTGACTAAAAATGGTGCGAAATTTGAAGACTTAGACATAGAAGGTTTGTTAACAGTCAAAGAAAGTTTTGACAGAAGGTTTTCAAACCTTAAAGAAGGCAAAGCATACAAACTTGTTATACCTTATGAACCAAAGAAAGCAGACGACTATGAATATTATGAGTCTAAAGTTGTAGAAGTTCAAGGTAAATTGGGTAAAAAGATTTTAGAGTCTAAGCCAGTGTTTGCTCCTAAAGAGGAAGAGAACATTGACATTGACCCAGAAATGTTCTAAAAATAAAATTTTATTTTTACATGTCATATCTCCCCTTCTCTGGCTCTGGTTCTTTCTTCTCTTCTTCTACTTTCTTTTCTTTCTTTTCTCTCTTCTTCTTCTCTGGTGGAGTTATGTCAAACTTCTCAGAACCATATTTTTGTAAAAGTTCTTTGTCCTTTAATAGCTCTTCTATTCTGTCTTCTATTTCATTTTCAAGAACAGCGCATGTGTCTTCTTTGCATTCTAAGAAGTTTTGTTGGACTTCATCTCTCCAAGAGGCGTCGTCTCTGTCAACAAGTCTGTCATTGACAAATTTTAAGACTCTCTGCTTAAGGTTTTATGGTTCTTGTCATATTCCCAGAAACAGAACTTTAGAACAAATTCACCTTTCTTGTTTACACTATGTAAGATTTTATGGTCGACAGATGTTTTGCTGTCGAAAAGCTTGTCTCGAATATAGATAGCGAAATCGCTAGACATTTCCTAAAAGATAAAAATTTTAATTTTTCTAAAAATATGTTAGAAAAAAAGTTTGCTGACATTGACAAGAAATTTGAGAATGTTTTAAACAAGAACAAGAGGAAGTTGGAAAATGCTCAGATAAAACCCATACATGACAAGTTCTTATTTGCTCAGAATGGTATAACAGGTCTAATCGCACCACCTGGGTCGGGTAAGACTTTCACTTATCTTAAAATGGCTGCACAACAACAAGAACTAGATGAGAAGAACCCATTCTATGAGTTAGTGTCATTTGTAGTACTTCGGGTCAATTTGACCAAACCGTCAATTCGTTCAAAGATATTATAAAAAAGTCTAAGTTAGTATGTATAAAAGACTCTGAGTTGTTAGATTGGATAAAGAAGTACCAAAGAAGAGTTTTGAAGTACAATGCTATAAATGAGTATGTCAATTCTAAGTTTAAAGACCCAAATGAGGAAATGCAGAGAATATTAGAGAAGAAACACTTCAGAAACAAACAGAAAGAGATTGAGTACTTTCGAAGAAATTGCAATCTTACGATTGGAAGACTTACCCTCATAGATGTCTTCTTATCTTAGATGACTTTGCTTCTCATCCTTTGTTAAAGAACAGAGAACAAGACATGTGTCGAATTCTTAAGAAGCTCAGACACTTTAACATCTCTGTTGTCATTTGTGTACAGACAGCCAAGAGTTTAAGTAAGGATGTAAAGAGAATACTTACTGATATCATACTTTTCCCCGGATTGTCCGAAGACGATTTCATGGAACTTATGAAAGAGTCCATGGCAGGTAAGTTTGACAGATATGAACTATGGGGAGTACAAAGTCATACAAGACCCTCATACTTCTTTCAGAATTCACATCTACGCGAACAAAGTTCAAATTGTAAAAAGTCAAGCGTAAAAATGTAAGTGTTTGAGTCTTAGTCTGTTGTGGTGCTGGGGCTGTCGGTTCTTCTGGCTTTGGAATGGACTCGGTTGGTGGTACGTCGGACATTCGTTTGTGTCCTGTCGGAAGGAAGGACTTTTCCTGTCGGAAAGAAAAACTTTTCCTGTCGGAAGGAAGGACTTTTCCTGTCGGAAAGAAAAACTTTTCCTGTCGGAAAGAAAAATTTTTCCTGAAGGAAAGAAAAATTTTTCCTGAAGGAAAGAAAAATTTTTCCTGAAGGTCGGCCAAAAAGTTCTCAATTTTCGAAAATTTGAATGGTTTACGGACGGACAACAGAAAAAATTTTTCCTGTCGGAAAGAAAAACTTTTCCTGTCGGAAAGAAAAACTTTTCCTGTCGGAAGGAAGGACTTTTCCTGTCGGAAGGAAGGACTTTTCCTGTCGGAAAGAAAAACTTTTCCTGTCGGAAGGAAGGACTCGGAATGCCAGAAGGAAAAACTTTTTCTGTCGGAAGGAAGGACTCGGAATGCCAGAAGGAAGGACTCGGAATGCCAGAAGGATTTGACAAGACAATTTACCATCTAGAGCTACCTGAGCCATCTTTGGTGTCAAGCTTGAAAAATAAATGGTTCATTTACTCTTCCTCTTTGAAGTTGTCAAAATACTCTGTTATTTTTTCTTTCAGTAGCGGTAAATCTTCTTTGAATGTAAGTATTGTACAACCTTTCATATCATAGTGTGTTTGAGGTAACGTATCTTGAACTATCTGTTTAACATCTTCATTTGGTGTCATTGAAATCGGTAAGTTTTCGCGATAGAACCAATTTCTGTCAGATTTGTAAATCTTAGCAAGGTCGTAAAAGCTTTTGTTGTTTCTTCTGACTAAATGCAACATAACCATATCTCTGTCTTCTTCATTTTCCATCTCTTCAGTGTAAATCATATACTTATAGTTCTTTTCCTTTCCTTTTGGTACCGAACGTGGTATTCTTTTCTGTATGTTTTTGTCTTCTTTCATCATATCTTCTCTCTGCTTTGTACAAAGTTCGTCAAGTAGCATAAGTATGTAGATTGCATAACGAGGTGAAGCCCACATTGCTATTGAACTAGCTAGGAACTTATGAACATATATACCTTTTAGATGCGATGGTAAGTTTTGTCTGTCTTGGTACATCTTTTTAAGTTCTACATGTTCAAACTCACTGAGGAGTTCATGAGTGCTATTTAATTCAAACCAGTCTTGTGGTTTCTTGGTATCTGGAGCAAAACATGCTGTCAAAATACTTTGCATTTGGTACATGTCATCTTTGACCGAACGAATGAGACGTAACTGTTTGTTAAACTGAACCCACTCGTATTCTTCATCTATGGCTTCATGAACGATAGCAGTTGTTGTGTTCTCTGATGTTGTCATTTCTGTTCTTACATACAAAATAAAAAATAAAATAAAAATAAAATTAGCGTTATTTTCTATCTTGTATAAAAGACCAAAAATAAACGCTTTACATGTATTTTTCAGCAACTTCGTCAAATAATTTTATAGCTTTGTCGATCTCATCTACTTCAAACGTTTCTTTACCTTTCGTGGGAGCACCATACCTTTTCTCAAAAACTTCAAGCAGTTCTGTTTCAGCAGCTCTCATATCGTTAACAAACACAACCTTAACTCTATTGACTGTAGAGTCATATCTACTACTTATATTAAATGTTCTTCCTATCTTATATCTCTTTGTATTGAAGTCCTTCGGTTTCTGAACGATGTAAAGTAAGCCTTCACTGCAACGTTCCGTATCGAATGAACCATATGTTATGAAATTATATCCAACAACTGGGTCAATCCATAACAAAACTAGTGGTATAAGACTTTTGTCGATGAGATATGCTGTAGTTCCATAGAATCTTACCGATATCATAAGCTCAGGATTTCTTGTCAAAATTTTCTGAGTAGAAGCAATTCTAACCCAGTCGTGTGCTTTCTTTCCAGATAGTGTTAAAATGTCTGACAAAGAATATTTGTTGTATTTCTTTGAGTATCTTACGTTTAAATCACCTATTCTAACCACCTTGGTCTCATTGTCTATCTTTTTAACTGTTTCAAACTCAGTGCTTGTCATTTCCTGTTCTTACATACAAAATAAAAAAAAATATTTTAAAAAAACTAGCGTTAATTTTATTTTTTCTATCTTGTATAAAAGATATGATTTCATAGAGTTTTTTTACGATTTTCATGAGTTTTAGGCAACCCCTGTAAAAGTCGGGGTAGCATTTTTTCACGATTTTCATGAGTTTTTTTTACGATTTTCGTACGGAATCTCTATCCTCGATTTTCCTAGGGTAGCAAACATATGAGGAAATTCATGAAATTTGGTCATTTTTTCAGCAAAAATATATTTTAGATCTAACCAGGTCCCTCGGTCCCTCGGTCCCTCGGTCAAATGAACTTCTCTGAAAAAGTGTGACAACATGACATTTTGACAACAACACAGGAAATAGACTTCTTCGTATATGTTTTGTTGAGACTTTCATGAGTTTTTTATGAAGAGTAAAAGTTCACTTCGTCAAAAAAATACAGTTATATCATGAAATTTGGTCATTTTTTCACGATTTCAGGGATTTTTTTACGAAGTGTAAAAGTTCTCTTCGTCAAAAAAATACAGTTATATCATGAAATTTGGTCATTTTTTCATGATTTCAGGGATTTTTTTTACGAAGAGTAAAAGTTCACTTCGTCAAAAAAATACAGTTATATCATGAAATTTGGTCATTTTTTCATGATTTCATAGAGTTTTATGCAAGGCCGAAAAAAGTCGGGGTAGCAAACATATGAGGAAATTCATGAAATTTGGTCATTTTACTCAGCAAAAATATATTTTAGATCTAACCAGGTCCCTCGGTCCCTCGGTCCCTCGGTCAAATGAACTTCTCTGAAAAAGTGTGACAACATGACATTTTGACAACAACACAGGAAATAGACTTCTTCGTCAATGAGCGTAAATCAGACAAAAATATATTTCTACCATAAAGTTTCACAAGCGTTTTACATGGTATATGTTGTGATGGTTCATGACTTTAAACAGTTTTGTAGCTTCTATTTCTTCTTTTAGTACATCGAATGTTTTAACAATGCCGAAAGTTTCTTTGTACTTCTTCTTGACATCAGATAGAAGGAAATCGTTAGCAGTTGGATAGTTTTTGTTCAGAAATGTCAACATGTCCATTTTATCTTCTGCTGGTTTCTCTGCTTCTTTCTTTAAGTCAGCATAGTCGTTTCGCATACGTTCTATCTCTTTGACGGAGTAGTTATATTTCTTCATTGCTGCTTTACATTTTGAACATTGTGGGTTCATTTTAGCATTGTACATTGAAATAAAACCTGCAAGTACGACTAAGGCGTAAATGGTTTTCTTTAACTCAAAAGTTGCGGGTTTTATCTGTTCATTCCATACTTTACCTCTTTTATCTTTATCTCTTATCTGCCATACACATTTTGCAACTAACGAAACAAAGTTGTCGTAGGTCTTAAACTCCTCCGATTTATATATGTCAATGAAATATACCATATCGCAGTCTTTGTGGTTGCAATGAAATCCAAGAAACTCATAGTTTACATTACGTATGAACTTCTTTATTTCTACTGAGTCAGTTGGTTTCACTTCTATTTCATCGAATTCAGGAATAGTGAGCTTTTGTTGTTGTATTTCAGGAATTTTAGGTAGATGGTCAATAATATCCTGCATTTCATAAAGATACTGTTCATTTGTTTCATCTTTCGCACTACAGTCTAAATCTCCTTGGAGAAGTTCTTGCTTTATCTTCTGGATTTCTGTTTCGAAAGTATATGAAGAAGGAATGAAGCTTTTCATCTCTACTAACATTGAAGTTGGGTTCATGACTAACGAGTTTGGTGCTGTTGTTGCTGACATGTTCTTACAATAAAAATAAAAAATATTTTTTAAAAAAAAACTAAAATATATTTTTGCCGAATTCAAGAGTTTTGTGTGTTTTCTACGGTGGAGCCAAAAATGGCTCGACCTCAAAACAAGCATTTCGTGAAGAATATACCACCCCGCTGTTTTCCGCGGGGTGCTTTTTATACAAAACATTTACGAAGAAGAAGTCATGACAAAACAAGCATTTCGTGAAGAATATACCACCCCGCTGTTTTCCGCGGGGTGCTTTTTATACAAAACATTTACGATGAAATTCATGAGAAATTAGATGATGAAATCTATTTCCTGTGTTGTTGTCTAAATGTCATGTTGTCACACTTTTTCAGAGAAGTTAAAATGACCGAGTGACCGAGTGACCGAGTGACCTGGTTCCACCTAAAATATATTTTTCAATACTTTTTCAGCACTTTTCCGTAGTTGTATATGAAAGACAATTCGAGATAAAAGTCATAGTACAATGGTATTATATGCTGCACACCGTTTGTTGTGAACCAGACTTGAAAGTCAGAGAAACTGTTACTAGGTGGTTCGTAGAATTTAGAAGCAAAGTCATAAAAGTCCTTACCGATACAAAGAAAACTGTTGTTGCTTGAACTGAAACTTGCATGACACATGACATTTTGAGGATCGAACACGTTTCTATAAACTGTCAAATCTGTTGGCGGGAGTATAAATTTAAATGGACCATCTGGTGGTAATGGTTCGTTCTGGTTTAGTAACCGAAGAAATTGCGCCCAAGAACGTTTGTCCACCCCCCAATATAAAAACTCTGTATCTCTTGGAGGGTTAATTTCAATCTTTTGAAATGAAACTGTGGAGTTCATCTTGTCGTATTCTAGCTTTAGATAGTATGTTCCATTTAGTAAAGAGTGGTATTTTTCTTGAAATTCCCAGTAGTATTTGTTTATTTGAGTTTGAAAGTCATTTAGAGTTTTTTCAAGACTTTCGTCTGAACGAATTGTAAAGATTTTCATTTCGTCAAATTTTTCTATTAGACCGTCAGAACCTTTATACTGACCGTGAAAATATACTGCAAACATAAACGCGTTAGTTCTATTTGAAAACAAAACTCTTCTAAATCCTATTGCCTTTGCATCTGAAGGACTTTGAAGCCAACGAACTGGATAGTCAAACCTGTAAGATCGGGATGAAATTTCTTCATCTGATATAGTCCTACCAGCGTTTGTAAAGATATAGTCTAACGGTTTTGTATCTGCTACTTTTGTTCTTTGTTTTTCAACCTGAAGCATTTAATATATGTAAAAATATACTGTTTTAAAAATGTTTTAAAATGGTATGCAATGTTTTATTTCATGCAATGTTTTATTTCTGTGCCGTCTTCAAGTACGGCCCAGTACTTACGCTTGGAGAGAACATGAACTTCGGAAAATACCTTGTCTAGCTTAAAAAGGCCCATCTTCTCACCGACCATTCCCATTTCAATGAGTTTGTTGTATCCTTCTTCGTTCGTCATGAGTGCATCGATGTTCTCATAGTAAACCACAACTTTGGATTTAACCTCTGAGAAAAATTTGTTGTAGTTGTCAAGGACTGCCTTTGCGAACTGAGGATAAGACCAATGTTCGACAATAGGTTTTACTGTGGTTACTAAGCCACCTTGACCTTGAGTAAATTCGTATTTCAAAACAAAAGGGGAGAACCTTTCAACAAAGTTGTCGACCTTCTCATAGTGTTTACTCTTCATCTTTTGAGGTTTTTTAATGGAATACCCCCATGTCGAATTCATAAGCAATTTGAGTGTCATTGCAAGTTTGGGGTTTGAAGCTTTCCTAATATCATAGAGTTGTTGTATGACTTTTCCAACTGTATAGTTCCTTCCCGGGAACTCGCCGTCTTCGTTTGGAATTCCAGTTGGGATATATTGGACGAACCTCATGTACGCAGCGTTAAGGTCGACATAGTATATTTTTTCGTATGAGTCGAACTTGTCGCATCCAATCGGCCCAGTTCGTGGAAATTCAAGTGAGTCTCTTATCTTCTGAGAAACCTCGCCTGTTATCTCATAAACATCGTCAAAGCAACCTGTTTCATATAAAACCTTCTGAGCTAACTCAGATGCTCTCCAATACAATTTGACGTCGATTGGATTTCTCAATGGAAGTTTGTTTATAGCATCTTGAAGTTCTTGCAACCTCATTGGAAGTTCTTCTGGTTCAGGTTGGTATCCGAACAATCCAACTCCTTTTGGAGCTGTGTACTTCTTTTGTGCTATAACTTTGTCTGGAACAACTTTTGGTCTCACTAACAATGAAAAGTTTGTTTCGTCTTTTGGTACAAAAGTTTCTGTCAGCTTGTCATCTGGAATTGGTTCCAACAAGCCTTTCTCGAAAAGAATGTTAACAGCTCTGACAATGTTGCACTTACCTTTTCCGAACAATGGGTTTGTAAGACTTTCGTTCAACATGAAGTGGTTGTGGACAATTACAATCTTCAACCATGGTAAGTCTTTGTCAACAACATAGTCGTCATGTGAAGAACCTTTCTCAGTCGGTATGTTGACTCGGATATTCACATTTGCCAACGGTGCAATCTTTGTCAATTGACTTCTGAGAATGTACCTTGTCTTCACACATGACTCAAGATACTTCATTTTCTCATCTGTAACAAGATTAGAGTTCCTGAGACATGTAAGAATACAAGGTTCATTGACAATTTTTTCAATTGAATTGTAAATTCCATACCTTGTTAAGTCAATGTCAGACTTGTTTATGAACGGGAAATACCCAGCATGTTGTCTGACTGCTTGAGGGTTGGGTTGATACCATTCGAACTTCACGCTTGCAATTCCTTCAATTGCATTCAAAATATCTGAGTCGGAGTCAAACATTTGTTCTCTCTTTGTAGTCTTGAAAGCGTCAAGAAGTTGTGCGGCTGTTTGTTCATTGCCATGTGAGTAGTATATATGACCATCTAAATCTGTTACGGTTAGTCTGAGATTGTATCCTTTCTTATTTCCGTCTTGTATGGCAGCAAGTACACCCATGAAGCCTTCTTTGTTCTTTCCTTCTTCAAAGTTTACTGTAAAGGTTCTACCAGATGTAATTTGACTTCTAACTTCACGGTACTTTTCATATGCATATCTTGTTCTTTCCATGGGGGCATGTGCGTCTTCACCTTTTCCTTTTTTCCTCCTCAAAGGATACAATTGTTTGTCATGTTTCCAGTAGAACCTGGCAAAGCCGTCGTGTCCTTCAACCTGTGGCTCAGTAACATCGAAAGGCATGTTCATAAGACGTTCTTCTTCTAACCTCTCAAGTCTGTTTGGATAATTTGTGCGTGCTGTTTCTAAGTCCATTTCATAGCGAAGACCAGCCAGTTTGTCATAGACTTTTATGGGTCTTCCCTTCCTATATTTAAACTTCTTCGAAACTTTCCAGCCATATCTTTCTAACTCTGCTTTTATTCTAGCAGATTTTCTATCTATTCTATACGGGGGCATTTTTATAAAAATAAAAAAAATATACTGTTTTAAAATGGTATGCCATATAGCTTCTTGAATTTGTTAAGACGTATATGAACGCATTTTCCATCTGTATCTCTAGTGTTTACATAAGCATAGCCTGCCTTAGTAAAACATACTTGTAATTTCCTATAGTTTACGCCGGTATAAAAGTAGAAAGAGTCTTGTTCTTCGCTATAGTAGTAAAACTCAAACGTATGTTTGCCATAGTCTGTAATTTCAATTGTTTCATCTTCTAGTTCGTCGACAAATTCGAATACAATATCTCCAATTTTACCTTTGTTCTTATTGTTTTCAGAACAAGTAACCCAACGTAAGTTTTCAAGTCTATTGTCGTTTCTTATATGGTTTATATGGTCTACAAAAGGTAAATTGTTAGGGTTCGGTATAAAATGAGTTGCAATGACAATATGTTTAAGATAGCTTTTCCCACTCATCTTCATAGTAGTATATCCGTCATTTCGCTCCCATTCGCTTAAAACTCTTTTTGTCTCTTTTTTTCTGACTTCAAATGACTCACAACAGTGAATTTCATATTTCTCATCTAACAAACAAGTTTCCCAACGGTCTGTTCCAACAAACTCAGCGTACATTTCAAATAAAATAAAAAAATGTTTTTTTTAAAAAATGTTTTATTTTAAATGGTATGCCATTTCATATTTCTCATCTAATTTCTCATGAACTTTCTTGTCTATGTTTTTGTTGAGACTTCTTCATCTAATTTCTCATGAACTTTCTTCATCTAATTTCTCATGAACTTCATCGTCAATGTTTTTGTTAAGACTTCTTCATCTATGTCTTCCCAACGGTCTTTTGCGACAGACTCAGCGTACATTTCAAATAAAAATAAAAAATGTTTTTTCTTTACTTAACATAGCCACCTGCTATCATAAGCCTTTGACGCCAACCCATACCAGCTAATGAAGGTTGACTTGGTTTAGTATTGAAACTAAACTTTGGTTTTGGTTTTTCTTCAGTTTTTGGCTCCCCTTCTTCTATCTGTTTTTCGTCACTTTTCGGTTCATCTGACTTTACCTCACTTGCAGGTATGGTTGTGTCGTTAGTATCTTCATAAATGTCATATGCCATCTGTTTCTGTTTTCCTTTCAACTTTTTGTGTTTGTTGTAAAGTTTAGAATATTTCGACTCTAAGTCAATGAGATGTTCTATAATGAACTGTTGGTCAGTGAAGTAAACTTTTCCATCTGTTGTCTCGAAAGCTCCTTCAGACTTCAATATTTTATTTGTGAGAGTCTGTTTCTTTTTTGAGATACTAGCCGTTCCATTTCTATGAAAAGTGACTTTGTAGTTAGAGTTTGTATTTCCAGACCTGGCACTTTCTATTATTGAATTTTTCTCTTCATCTGTAAGTTCTTTGACAGGTTTTGACAATGGTTCTGAACTTTTTGTTTGTGGTGTCAAATCTACCGTTTCAACTTCTTCGGTCATTTCATCTCAGTAAAAAATTTTAGTTTGTTTTGTTTTCAACTGGTTGTTTAGGTTTTTTAAGTCGGTCTAAAACTTCCTGAGGTATAGGAAGAACTTGACAAACACGTGGTTGTGTAACTGCTGGAAGCCGACAAATCCATCTTGAGCCCATTTGTCTCAATGCTGTATTGTTCATTTCATCTCAGTAAAAAACTTTACATTCCCCAAGTTTGAGGTGGTTGAGGTTGGTTGTTGTTTACCCACTGTTGTGCATGGTTATATCCTCTGTTAAAGAATCTTTCACCTTGGTCCATATAGTGCCCTGCTTGGTTATAGTAGTCATTTGCTTTGTTATAGTAGTTTCCTGCTTGTCTTCCTACATTGTCCATCCATCCTTGAACTTTTCCTCTTGTTTCAGGATTTGGAATAAGATTTGCTGCATCTCGTGCTACATCCCAACCTTTCTGTACAGTTTGTATAATAGGTTGCGCTTTCTCTTTCAGTATACCTAATGTACTCAAAATCTTCCTTCCAATTCCAAATGCACCTCTGGCTATTGTTCCCACTGCGGGCAAAAATCTAGATGTGACTCCTGCTAATGCACCAAATAAACCCATTTCTTATGGGTTAAAAATGACGAATTCAAACAAGGACCCGTATGTTTCTAAAGCGACAAAGAAAGCACTCATGGTAAAAATCTTTAGTTCAACACCAAATGCTTGGTTTATGGATATCTTGGAAAACATTCCGAGGTATAGAGAAGATGGACCACCATACTGGCTAATATTTGTTGGTCAAAACACAAGATACTGTGAAGCCATACCATTATGGTCCAAAAATATTTTAGATGTGAAAACTGCTTTGACAATCTTCGTTGACAAATACCATCCAACAAAACTGACATCTGACTGTGAAAGTTCTTTCAAATCAGACGATATTAAAAACTATCTGCGTTCAAAAAATGTAAACCAATATTTCATTGTCGACCAAAACCATTCTGCTCTTGGTGTCATTGACAGTTGTATAAAAATCTTAAGAGACTTAAATCAACCACAAGGTGGTGAGGTAGATGAAATGTCATATGACGACAAATATAGACATTTCTCCATGGCAAAGATGAGACAAGTTTTAAATATTTACAATACCCGTAAACAAAAAGGTTTGGGAAACCATTCCCCCGAAGAAATGAAAAACAACCCTGACTTAGAGAAAGACTATATATTTAATAGTTTAGTCAAAAGGGACAAACAAGAAAGAATGCCGGGCTTCAAACTTAAGAAAGGCGACAAAGTAAAAATAGAAATACCTAAACGCGACCCATATGAAAATACTATTGACTATGACAACAATGGGAACTCGACAGGTACTCACGTTCGTGTTCGTAAAAATAGAAGAAAGTATACAAGAGAATATTATGAAGTTTTAGGCAAACATGGCAAAATGTACAGACTGCAAGCAGAAGATAAAACTACTATTGTCAGACCTCGTTTCAAACTTGTCAAAGTTCAAGGTGGTATACTTTCAAAGACAGTTCCTAACAAATATAAGACAACTCCTGACGAATATGCTAAAGAAGTTGAAAATGACGACTAAGCAATTCTATACCATGCGTAAACTGTCATGTAAGGTGGCATGTAGTCTTTACTTTGTCCCGTTGTTTGCGTATACCCTGAAACGCGATGTATATGGTTTCCTCCTCCCTCAGTGTTACTCCAGTAACAATCTATAGCAAACTTAACGCTGTCTTTAACATCATATCCTTTACCTTTTGTCATTGATGACCAATCCCAATATCTATGCTTATGCCAACCTGCTTGAGATGTACTTAAATCTATGTAGTGACTGTGCGCAGGTAAGTTTTCACCTGAAATCGTTTTACTTCCACCTGTTTCCTTTGAAGAGTTTGCACAATACAAAAACCTGTCGACTATTTGAGTCCAAGTTCCAAAACCAAGTACTACTTCTGGTCTGGTAGAGTTCATTGACGTGTAAATAGAACCTATAGGATATACTGTTTGAAGTATTTCAATCTTTAATGTTTGAAGCTCTGTTTTGTCAGCTTTCTTATCTAACTCATCGTTAACATATGTTTTGTCAGCTTTTTTATCTAACTCATCGTTAACATATGTTTTGTCAGCTTTTTATCATATAAATCTTGAGCAGTGAATTTAACTTTGTTTTCATCCTCCATGACATAGACATTTCTACATCTAGTGTATTTCATCGTCGTTATGTCATCCTCCGATGTTAAACCTTGTGGAAAGTTAGGAGGTTTCCAATTTAATACATCCCCACCAGTTTCTTCAACCGTTCCTGCAATATTTTCTATACCAACAGTTGCGAAGAAATCGTGTGTATGGTTCTTATCTGCCTTCTTTTCAAGGCTAACGTTTAAGTCTGTTATTTCAGAAGATGTATGTGTATGTCCAACGTCACTTTTCCTGTTTAAGGTTTCTTGTAAGTTTGTAATATTTGCAATGGTATGTGTATGTCCAACGTCACTTTTCCTGTTTAAGGTTTCTTGTAAGTTTGTAATATTTGCAATGGTATGTGTATGTCCAACGGCACTTTTACTGTTTAAGGTTTCTTGTAAGTTTGCAATATTTGCAATGGTATGTGTATGAGTCTTTTTAGAATATTCTTTGTCAGCTCTTGTCACTTCACTTGACATTTTATTGTCAACATATGTTTTGTCTGCTAGTTCAGGATGAGTATGTTCTTTGTTGCATATGTTGCATCTGCTCTGTCATGTTCTTCTTGAACTTTTTCAATGACATACTCTTTGTCAGCTTTGTTGTCAACATCTGCTTTCAAAAGAAGTTCATCTATAGGTTTCTCGTTTAAAGTTCCTTTTGTTGGATTTATACAAACAGTATGGTTCTTACTGTCTTGAAACAGAAACTCGTCTGTCAATGGGTTTATCGTCAGTTTTAAGTTTCCTTCTTTCAATGACTCAGATATCTTAGAATAGTTTGAAAAGTTTGTTGTGTTCTTATTTAGAGCTTGTACAATGAGTTGTCGGTTGTGTTGTATTTCTCTCATAGACGCTGTTTCTTTCGACATTTTTATTCTAGATAAAATATGCTTTCAATAGAAAAAGAAAATTCAAGAGTTGCTACAACTAAACCATTAGATGAACTTTTTACGAATGTCGGTCAAAAAATAAACGATATCTATATCGAATATGCAAACCAGTTTAACATTGACGAAGGAGAGTACCATCTCGATATTGTTTATGACAGGAAAAATGCAACTGTTAAAATCGATAGAATAGAAGACCTTGGAGAAAACGTTTATATTTCTACAAAATATAACAACTTGGCATGGTATAGATTTTTGAGGATGTTAAATCAGCCTGCAGCATATCCAGTACACCCGGACTTTTATGAAGTCGAAAAACCCTAATGGAACATATGAAAATGTTTTCGACTCAGATGCTATTATAGTTCATGCTTCATTTTCTGGTGCACAAAACTCTTTTTATGCTTGGCAAATGACTTTTACGAAAAACCTACAAAGCTATATGAACCACCAAGTGGAAGTATTTCAGACTTTCAAGTATGGTTTACAACAGATGGAAGAAAGAGAATAGTTCCATTATACCATGCGTTTTACTTAGAACTTAGTTTCATATACAACTACTATCGAACGGTAAAAATATAATTTTTTAATACGGTTGAGGTGTTGGATTTGGTTGCCAACTTGACTGTGGTGCAGGTTCAGGCTGTTGTATAACAGGAGCTTGTTCTTCTGGTTCAGGGTCTTTAGGTATAATACCAACGAACTGACCTACTCTTTTACCAATATTTTTGACTCCGTTCCAAATTCCTCTTCCTACGGTTTTTATTCCATTCCATATACCTCTTCCAACATTTCGAAAGAAGTTTCCAATACTACTGAAGAAACCCATTTTACTATATGTAAAAATCTAATGTCCACCTAGTCTCTTACGTTTCCTTCTGAGTTCCATAGCATTTTTTAACTGGAGCTCATACATTCTATTTCTCCTCTGGTAGAAAACATACTCTGGGTCAACTCCTGTGTTCGCGTCATCTGCATAGAGTTGTTTATATCCCACTTCAGGGTTTGTATAAAACTCTTTCCATCTCATATTTGCATACCATGGTGGCAAACCTAACGCAGCGTCATTTGACATGGCAGTTTGCATTTGTACATCTGTTGGCACTTGACCATAGTTTGCCATTGCAGTTTGTATTCTAACTTCATTTGGAATATTCTCTGGGTTTGGTTGTCCAGGTTGCTGTGCATTCGCTAAGTTCTGTGCGTCCATTTAATATTAGATAAAAATATCTCTTACGAGTACATATGCTGAACATTTGCTGGTATTGGTTCATCTTCATATTCTCTATATCTTTCTGCCACGTCAAATAAGTAAATGACACAATGGAAAAAACCTAAAACAAGTAGTCCTATTTCAAACCACATTTACTTACCAATAAAATTTCTTTGTTATGACACTTTTTCCGGTTTATAGGACCTCTCTCATATTCTATCTTATCGTATCTAAAATCATAGTCATGTATGTCCTCTAACCATCTCATGACACTTTCCAAACCACTTTTATCGGATGTAAAGTAAAAGCATGGATGGTTATGTAAAACGTCTAAAGTTTCTAAAGAGTCTCTCAAAGTCCAGTCTACTTGGTATTGAAAATCATATGTGTTATAGAACGGCGGGTCTACTATAAAGAAAACATTTTCCTTGTTTTTATATTTTTCATACAACTCTGTCCAATGACATCTCACAAACTCTATACCCTCAGTATATTTTTCTATGTTCTCTTTGAAAACCTTTGTATAGTTAAGATATAAAACGTTTGACATAAGTGTTTCAATGTCATGAACTCTTATAGAACCACTATACAATAGTCTAGAAGATATACTATCCCAGTCAATATACTCTGCTTTTTTCAAAACCTCTCTGACAATATTTTTCTTATCTAATGGTATACGTTCCATCTTACCTATAGGTATCTTTTCTTTCAACTCACTCAATATTTTGTTTGTGTCTGGTATATGTTTGAGACGGTTCATATAGTTGTCGAAGTCATTGCATATAATCTTTGAGTCAGGAAATACAGTATGGCACAAATGAGATATATAGAAACTTCCACCGAACAAATCTACAAATGTTAGACCATTCGGTAGTTTCTTAAGTTCTCTCAATAGAATATCTTTACATCTACTCTTATTTCCAAAGAAGGGTAACGGTGGTTTTGTAAAATTCATTTTATATATAATAAAAATGTTTTTTCCCTGAAAAGTGACAGAAAAGTGACAAAACATGAAAACTACTCGGTTAAGGTCTTGTCGGTTTTGTAAAATAACCATCCTATCTTGTTAAGACTTCCTGGACTGTTGTCAAAATGTCATGTTGTCTCATTTTTTCAGAGAAGTTCGTTTAACCGAGGGACCGAGGGACCGAGGGACCTGGTGTTATACTAAACATCTTCAGGGGGCTAGAGGGGCGCAGCCCTGGAAGCCCCACTACCTTTTTTTTTTTTTTTTTAACATATTTTGTAAAGCTTTCAATCTTCTTTAAGAATTACAAAATAGTTCGAAAATTGAAAACCGCTTCACTCATTCAATTTTCGCCCTATTTTGCTAAAATCTGTAAATTAAACTTTACAATAAATACATTTAAAAAAAAAGTTGTAACTCATGTTTGCGGAGGAAAGCATTTTTTAAGTGGGTCAATAATGATAAATATAGCATTTATAGGTGTGCAGCACACCAATAGAATTTCTCCCGCAATCATTTGGAGCAGCTCTTCAAAGTCGAGAGCTCGGACATTTTGACCATATTTTACCATCTACCCCTATATATACATGCATTCCTCATTATCATAACCAAATTAATATATTTATACACATTTTATTATCTTATCCTTACGAATTCTCTTATAATTCATATTATCCCACGTATACACAATTTATCTCTATTCATAAATACATAAACAATTACCTAAAACGATTGTACACATTTCTATCACTCTTTTGTTTTAATTAGCTCAAAATATTTAAATATATTCAATAAATACATATAATATTTCATATTTAGACATATTAAGATCTAATAGTTATATAATCAATTAGATCTAACATAATTTTAGAATCATCAAATTATACTTTTTAATAAAATAGCAATTTAACATGTACACTCATATCAATATCTCATATACTCATTCACTCAAACCTTATAAACATATTGCACATGCAATATATCATATTTTCATTAGATTCTTATATCTTATTCTTTATATACAGTGTGTAAACATATGACTATATGATCAAACAATCTTATTTTAAACACATATGAATATTTTATTATTAGTAGATCTATATTAACTTTAATTAGGGTAGCATAATTTCATATCTTGTGTCAATCTGCTCTAATTCTCTCATATAATATAAAAAAATATGCTGATCAATATTATATAACTCACTTGTCTCCAGCATGTTTGTATATGGAGATCTAGTATACACCCAATTTTGGACCGGAAAAAAGTGTATGGTCCCTCAATATGATTCTTTCTACAGGTGTGCAGCACACCAATAGAAATGAAAGAAAATAATTATGTCACTTTTTAACAAAAAATGAGCTCTCATCAACAATTATTCTACAACAAGAATTATAGTAAGATCATCCAAGATTTGAGCTCTAATCAAGATCCATCTATCCAAGAAACACATAATTTGTCTATTTGCAAGTATTTATCTAACGGCGAATCTCCACTTCCAACCTTAATGAATTTATGTGATTCCATTCTTCAAGACATTCAATCACCAAATCAATGGCCATCTAATCCATCATGGCCATTGATTTTATATCATGTTTCTTTATATTCTCTTAAATTTTGTTCATATGAAAAAACACAGAACATTTTGAACGATCTTTGGAACAATTATGACAAACAAGATAAATTCCTAATGCTTTCAATCACTGTTTTGACAATAGAACTCGCCTGTCGTTCAAATTTAACAAATAACATCGAAAAAGCCTTCAATTATATTAAAACCAACTTTCCGACCGCAGAATCAATCCAAGCGGTCCTACAGACAAAGAATATCGACTCAAATACGATCCAATACTACGTTGACACGATTCAATATTCCAAATTCAAAATTGACGTTTCACAGCTTCTCAACAGCAGCGTTGATGAAAAGACGAAAGAGCAGTACCATAAATTAATCCAAGGAATCGATATTTCAGAAAATGCGAAACAAAATCCAAAATTACCCGTTGTTAAAGGAATTCCTCTTTCCAGCTTAGCGTATCACTTTGGAGAAATGTCTAAGTCACATTCAATCCTCGAAACAATCACTCCAATTAGTAATTTCGCAGTTTACAATAATCTTGGCATTTTCGAGCTCATTAACGGCCACTACAACTCCGCACTTCTACACTTTTCACGTGCTCTCAGTTCCCGTACGAATAATCAACTTTTCTACCCTTATCATCAAATTTCTTATAATTTAGGATTATCCTTACTGCAGAAGCACAAACCGAAGCGTGCCTTCAAGTACTTACATTCTGTTATCCCTCTAATGCGTAACAGCCCTTATTTATGGCTGAGACTTTCAGAATGTATTGTTATGTACTACAAACAAAGAATCGCCAAACTCCGACAACGAACACAAGTATCTCCCGTCATAGCGCAAAAATTATGCACCAGTACTCAGACTTATTACCTTTTACCAGCTTCAGATTCTAAATTGTTCGAACTGGACCAGAACAAGAACTCAGAGATGAACCTCGACTTCGGAGCTAACTGTGCTCGCAATTGTATCCAGTTATGTACTCCGGAACAGTCCGAAATTGCAAATCGTGCAAGAATGCTTTGTTCCTTCATTTGTCTTGAAATCGGCGCGGGCAAAATGGCATCAGACATGTGCAATGCAGTTATTAATAGCCCAGGAAGTGATAAACAGCAACAACAATTTCTTGCCAAGATTTATTCCGTTCAAGGAATCATGTTATCAGATGATATCGAGAGCGCAAGCCGCGTCATGTCAAGGATGATCCTGGAAAGCTCATTTACCAAAGAAAAAGACCTTAATACTCTTAATTACCTCACATTTGCCAGAGTTCACATGAGTAGCCGGGACAAGGAAGGACACATTAGCCAGACCGACATCAAGAACGCCGAGAATATGCTGTCTAAAGCTGTTGAAGCTGATCCAAGAAGGCCAGAAACAGTTTTGACGAGTATTCTCTTCAAAATAATGAGAAGACATATCGCACATGCCGCTCAGGAGATAAAGGACTACTGCGATAACGTCGACAAAGGAAATGGCGACGATTCTGATTAATTTTTCTAATTTTTTTGTGATTTTATTTTATTTGATTAAATATATATAATACTTGTAAAATGTATTAAAAATTTGCTTATATTTTCTTTATTTTTTATCAATAAAATTAATTCTTCAATTTTATTTTGAGGAATATGACTGAATTAGCAACATAAACGAGTTAGTGTCAACAAGAAAACCAACAATAACACATCTTTATTCTCTTAATTCTTGAGAATCAAAAAGTTCAAATGCGATATTCGAAGTTTTTTTCAGCTAATGGACGTTAATATCCAAATTTCATACCATAGTATCACAGTATGAAAGTTTTTTTAAAGAAGCAACACACTGCTTTGCTTTTATTTTGGTTTATTTAGGGAGAAAATTGGTGATACTCCCTGTCTTTCTTTTATTATTGAATGATGTGCCAGAAAAAACATTACTGCGATCAATTTAATTGTTTTTGGGAAATAGTTCAGCATATCATATGCTTTATCAGTTAAATGGTTTTGGATCACTTTCAAAAACAAACATTTCTAACTGTATTACATCAAGTTGTCCAGGTTTTTGTTATAATTTTGTTGAATCAACAGTAAATGTTTCATTTTGCCATTTTGAGAATTTAAAAGCCACTGATTGTCCGATTGTATTTTTTGGGTATACTCCAGGAAGAATTGAACGATGTAATTATATAAATAATTCTGAAGATAAATCAGGTTGGGGATTAATAGCTGTTAGTGTAAATACTCTTGATATTTTCGATTCATGTTTCCAAAAAAATATGCAAAATAAAGTAGGAAAATTATTTGATGGACATTTTGGACCAATTAATATATATCGCTGTAGTATTGATTCATATTCATCCTATGGAACTGTTTATGCATCAGATAAAGGAGAAGCTTCATTTGTGAATATTATAAAGTTTATTGATTTAAGTCCATGTGAATTATTTGGTCCAATCCAAAAAAAAAAATAAAATTTGCTCATTATGTGTTTGTAGAAATTTTATTTTTTGGAAAATGTTTTATCTCTCTTTTGTTTGTAATTAAACGGTAACAAGATCTAAGAAATCGTATAATTATTGATGCAATAAATAGAACTATCTGCCCGTATGAAACATCATGCAATTCTGATAATTAGACACCCCAACTGTTAGAAATTTGAATGAGAACCAGATAACTGTCAGTGCTTCATTGCTTATATATAAGTTATTATAGTGTCTTTTGGTGATTACTGTAATTATGAGCAATATCTCACAATGATGAATGCTCAAATATAAGATTCATTTTTATTGGCTTTATCTGGGAACAAATTAAATAAGTAATAGAGCTTATGAACAATTATGAGCTATTTTTTTATCCAAGTGAATATTTTAAAGCTTTGCTCTTACTCCCTCAACATTAAATGTTTGGTAAACAGTACTGAGTTTATATATAACACCTTGGCAAAGATATTGTAACTTATAAATTCAGAGGTTGATGCCGAAGTCTAAATCAATAATGACCATATTTTCATTATTGAATCGTGAAAAATTGAACACATTTGAAATTTTAAGATTCGGATCAGGTAGTCATTTAGTGCTCATGCTTAAAATACTGTTAACAGTTGATTTGATTTTTATAAAAACGATTATTTTTTTTCCTTTCTTCTTTTTTATGTCATTCAATATCGATGATTTGAAGGGTGATGATGTTTTTAACTCATTTTCTGCAGAGCATTCAGTACCTTTTAGTGATAACTCTGATAATGAAAAGTTACGCTCTCAATTAGCAGAATATGAAAAATTTCTTACGATGTTAAACGTTCAAATAGAAGAACGCAGGCAAAGATATGATGACGAATTAGCAAAAATCAAAGATACAATTGCAGAACATCAAAAGAAATATCAATTCGCCTTAGAAGAACAAAATCAAATTCAAATTACAGAAGAAAACCAACTTAGATACCAATTGGAGAAACAATACGCAGATATATCTACAATTGGAACTGATAAAGGCGAACATCTTCAAAAGTGGAGTGAAAGTCATCATCAGATCGTTGACTTGGAGAAACAGATCGAAATATCCAAATTAAAAACGGACATAGTTCGTACACAAGGAACAATGATCGCAAATGCGTTGACAACAATTTTCCAAGAAAATTTGTCGAAAACAGAAAAACTCAATCAAAGGAGAGCAATAAAAAGCACATTAGAATCATTAGAACATGATGTAGATCAATACATGCAAGACATTTCCTTCCAAAAGGATAAATATTCAAGTATTATCAACGAAATACAGAATACAATGAAGATCCAAGACCAATACTTTGAATTATCCAAGAAGAAGATATCAGAGGAGATATCAAGACGTGATAAATTCTTTGCAAAACACATTAATACAATTAAAGCTGCAATTGAACGAGAAAACAATCAGATTGATACAGAAATCGCAATATATGAGCGAAAATACAAATCTCTATGCGAAATCCGTAGGGAAAACAACAGAAAATCAACACAAATAATTTCAAGATTTAATAAAGACATAGTACGCTTGCAGGCATCATTAGAATCAGCTAATAGTAATAATGACAGCGAATCTACAGTTACATTTTCTTCTTTAACGAAATCAGATTCAATAAGAAGAAATTTAGACTATTTGAAATCAGAAGAAGCAAGATTAGCAGCCGAACTTGATTCAGTATTGTCAGTACAGGACCGCGCTTCAGCAGTTCTCCACCAAATCATGAAAGAAGAAAGTTTTTCTTACAGCACTGTTGATTACGATTACAACCCAAGTCCATTCAAAATTCCAATGAAATATAATGTTTAGATCATGATTCTGAATTTTTTATTTTCTAATTTTGATTTTTTTTTTTGTAAATATGTGTGATTTTATTTTTCATTTTCTAATTTTTTTGGGTCCACGGTCCGGCCAAGCGAAGGCTATCGTTAATACCCAAAATTTATATGGCAAGGCTCATATCTAATTATAAACTGTTTTCAATATAATTTTTGGATTGCGTTAAACCAGAAGCTCCAAAAAATAAAATAAAAATAAAGATGATAACGATAATTCTCATTTTAGCATTCAATAGTATTGGAAATGTACCGTGGACCTTTAAGGGTGCACTTACCACTTTTTGACATACTCAGATAATATCAACATATCTTTATTTTCATGGCAAATGAGTATAATAGCCATGCTAAGAACTAAGCAGAGATTTATAATTACTTATTCCCGACCAAAAATATTAACTTTTTTTAATAGAAAATTGATTGATAAAGCTTGAATGTCAAATTTGAGAGCATGTCAGAAAGTGGTAAGTGCACTCTTAATTTTTTATTAACTAATAACTATATCATATTTATGTTATATAGTTTCAAAATCTTGGGTCCAAATCCTCCAAAAAATTGATACACCGTTCAAATCAAAGATCAAATCACACGAAATAACGTTAAAATCAAATATACGAGGGCATATAAGGATTAAAAACTATTCTGTTCACTTAACGAAATCCTGTAATGCGATCAACTCCAAAACATATAATTTTTTTTTACTCCAAATAGAGATAAATGATATATAAATATAAGATATATATAATAAAATTTTATAAATGTTTTTAGAAAGATTTTCAACGTCTCAGATATCTAAATTTTGAATTCTTAAATGAGATGATTCCTTCTGTATTTGATTGTTTTTTAAGATAAGAATCATTTGGAAGCATACAATCATCTGATGAATAATGATATATATATATGAATCTAATGGATCATTTGGTTCAAATGTATCTGTATTATTAAATATAGTATGATTGACAATATTATTAAAGTAACAATTATCAATAGTTGGTTTTCTATCAAATAAATAGTTTCCTTTATTTCCTATGAAGGAACAACTTGAATATGTAATTGAATATGAAGTTGAAGTAGAGCACACAATTATCGCATTCTGAGTTCCATTATATTTATTATTTAAATAATTACATTTTGTAATACTAAAATTACCATTGATATTGTGAATTGCGCCTAATTCTTTAGATGATGTATTTGATGCTGTTGTGAGATTAAGGCTCCGGTCCTGCATGATTACTGCATATAGTTAGGACGAGTGTCTAATAAGGAGTAAAAATATACCAATAGATTGCACATATACCAATATTTTGTAAAAATTAAATATTATCTATTTTTAAAATTTTCGAATTTGACTATATTATCGTTTTAAACATGATATATACTAACTTTACTATTTGATATATGATAAATAATGATATTTTAAAAATTGAAAATTTGGATTTTTAAATTTGCAAAGTATATAGTATAGTAAATTCATAAATGAGTATAATGTGCCCAATTATAACAATTTTCAATCATTTGATAATTCTATGACTATGGATTTTTGTACTTCTAATTAAAATAATGTCACTTTTTAATATATTGAGTTTAAGGTTTAAATTTAATTTAAAAAATCGATTTGTTTATACATATTGGAAAGGATTTTTTTGATAATATCTTTTGTATATTAATACATTATGACTTATACTATGTCACCATAATATAAGTTCAAATTTTTATCATGCACATCAATATAAAATTGTAATTCAAAAAACACCTACTTCTATCGTCAAAAATACTCTCAATTTGAATAAATACATCAAAAATATCAAATTTGCAAACCTAATTCTTCGAAATACCGAAGAAGGTAGAATATACAAATAGTGTCGACAGAAACTATATAATTTTCTTTACAAATTATCGAAGGGGAGCTGAGAATTTTTTCTTATACGTTGAATTATAATTCAAATTATTGAATGGATTTTTGGAAAATTGAATACTCAATTATCGAAAAACCGTTTTGACAAAAAGTGATTAATACAATAATGTTGCCTATATTAAGTAATTATCATATATGATTTTTATTATCATATCAATTAATCGTGCATGAAGTTATTCTCGACGCAAAAATGGTTTTTATAGGGGTCTTGCAAATCTAATTCTTCTTTCATATATTTTTTAGAAGCAAACTCACTATATCAAAATAAACTTTAGTTGCATTCTAACAATTTGTCGAAGGGGAACTGAGAGTTTTTTCTTTATTATCAAGATATGACAAAAAATGTTAAGGATGGGCACTCATAGGCTCCTGACAGCATAAAAATGTTATTATCTCACAATATAAAAGGAATCATAGGAATCTACAACTATATCTATATTGTTGGAAGACTTCTTAATGTATCATGCATATAAGTTATATCAATAACTCCATTATGTTATATGATTGTAATCATATTTTCGTTTCATGTTCAAAAACATTAAAATCATACTAACTATATGAGTATTATAGGCTTTTCTGAATTTCATAATAGAAATTCAACTTGAAAAAGCAACGATCCCTATATCAGTTTAATCAAATTTAGACTTTTTTCTTATCAGTATATATTTTCATGATGATAAACTAAATTCTTTTAGAATAACAGATATTACCCCTAAGAATGCTTAATTGAAATCCTATTATCGAAAAATTCATCAACAAATTAAATTAAAAAGATTATCAAGTAAAAAACTTTTGATTGACCGTAAATTTGCATACTACTCACATAATTAAAACATTTGCAATCACTCTTTTTCAAATTTAATATTGGATTTAAATAATGTCAGCTTCTTCATGTAAAATGATAAAAAGAAGAGTGGATTATGCTTACTCAATAAATAAGGATTATGAATATAGCATAAGAGTTTTAAAAAAGTCACTTCACCACCCTTTGGAGACCTCGTACAAAATCGAAAAAATTTAGACCAAAATCTACTTTTTCGACATAAAATTATGTAATTTAGAGGTGGGAGTGAGCGTAATGATGAACACATGGATAGTAGAATCATATTATCCAAAGTTGAAAAAAACTTGTTTTAGACGAAAAATGCGGAATAATTTCAAATTCTTTTAATTTTAGGATTTTTTTAAAAATAACCTTTGTTATAATATCTGCAAAGATCAAGCAATGATATCATATAGGTAATGTCCCATGAAACTGACTACATGAGGAGCTTGGTACCTTAAGATCGAGGAAAAATTGAGAGGATCAGTTCACATCGGAGAGAAGCCTTAATTTGTTTGTTGAATTCTAAATTCAGAGATCTGAGCTATAAAAAATAAAACATTTATCCTTCATTTGAATTCATCAGGCAAATATTAAATTTTCTATAAATCAAAATAAATAAAAATCAAATATTGATATGAAAAAATAATTTTTTCTATCGTCCTGCGCCCTGTGAAGGCGCCCTATGGTTCGGGCCCATGTAAACCATATATTAATAGCACCCACCGTTCCCTGTTTAATTTTGATTCATTTTTAATGAGACCATACTGGAAAATACTTCAATGCATTTGAAATGGCGAAATGAATTCACAATATCGAATTCCCTCTGAATGATCATTAGTTTCCATATGACACCACAGATAAAACATTTGGAAACATTCTTTTGCAATTACAAAAACAATGAATTAAAACTTAAGGGTGCACCCGTATGTACGTTTATTTGAGAGGAGGAGGATTACCCTCTCAATTTTGAGGGATTCGTTAGTTTATTTTCTCGATGAATATGCAATAAAATTTGATTTTTACCTTATCAATATACTTCATATAATATACACATATAGATCTGCAAGTTTCCCAAATGAACGGGGTGGATAAGATCCCAGCCCTATCGTCATCCCAGTGTCAATTTTACAAAAAAAATTCTTAATAAAAATTTTTATTAAAAAAATTCTTATCTTTTTTCATTGAAATTTAAATAATAAAATAAATTTGGCTGTAAAAACCATCAATTATTATAATTCTTATCGAAACACATGTAGAAAAACACTTATCTTTTATACTCTTTCTATTTGAAACCTGTTTAGTTCAGTAATTAATAATAAAAATTGTGAAAATAGTGACTATTTAACTAAAAATATATTAAATGATGTAATAATGAGATATACATATATTTTTACGAATTATAATTAGAAATTATTCTGGTCTGGGAATCCCAACCCAAAATCATTGAAAATTTGAATATATGGGATGGGCTACCCATCCCAAAACTATATTGAAATTTTTGAATTGATAATAAATGTATCTATATCTAAGGTATATTAGAGAATTTTTTAAAATTATGCATTAAAAAATTGAATTTATTCAAAACAAATTGAGAATAAAAATGCTTAAGTAATCACTTCATTATTTCAACAATGATTGATGCAGTACCGACGTACTATAAAGACATTGAGGTCGGTACTAAGCATCAGTATCTTAGATATAAAAAACCAAGCGACAAGTACGGAAAATATTATGTTAAATGCAATGAACTAGTAAAGCGCCCTGACGAAACTATATGCCACTGTGCAATGGAAGAAATGCGTGAGGATCATTTCAAAAAATGGATCCAAAACAAACGGCACATATGCACACCAGGAGAAGTAGCATCACAACAAACAATCGATCAATACTATCAAAACGTCCCAGCAACAGGGCTTACACCTATATCGTTAGGGGATATCTATGAACAGCTTGCTACATTTACTGGAAGATTTAACTTGGCTCTGAATACCTTCTCAAGCCCAGAGTTTACAAAGCTAGTTAAAACCATTATAATGTATACTGCAGACTCGATGATATTGAAGTTCCCACAGTTACACAATGTTAACATCAATGTTGATAAACTAGCTTCTCAAATATACCAGCCTATTTCAACTGACAAACTAAGGCAAACAATGATACAAATTGCAAATTCAATCCATGTTGCAAAAGTTGATGAGTTTGCTAAGCTTGCCTGTACCTGTGTTGCCATTGATGAGGGGAAGACTCAGCAGTTTCACAATCTGGACTTCTCCCTCACAAATCCTCTGCAAAGCAAGCGGCCCTATCCTGTTGAGTCAATCCAAATGAATGGTGGAACATCTGAAGATTATATCCACTCGCTTACTCAAGGATTTAACAGAATCTTCATTAGAGATGTTAAGATCAGCAGTGTAGTTTGCGATGGCAATAAAGCGCAATTGAAATGTTTTCAGAAAGGATGGAATCAATCGTTCTACAACTCAAATGACCCAAGGTTATTCAAAATCTTGTTTATCCCGTGTTTATGCCACAGGATTCATAATTGTTATCAATATATGACAACAAAAGACGTAGCATTAGGAGCAATTGTGAAACATATCCACGAAATATCAGCTCTTTGTAGAATCCATGTTGAAGACATCGGAGCTCTCTGTCCAAAGCATGTATCCACCAGGTGGATCTATGATTATAATATTTGTATGTTTATTATCAAGTATCAAGACAAAATTTCAAGATATACGCGTATTGATATTGAAAACATCAAGTTCTTAAGAGACTGCTTGGCAATTCTCAAGAAGCTTATTTCCACGTTCGAATCAGATAAAACCAAGATATCTGATTGCTACGTATGGCTTTGCAAGGGTATTGAAGCACTCCAATACCTTTCCAGCAGCAACAACAATCCTTTTGCTGGAATCCTTTCAAGATCGTTGTTGAACTATACCCTTGGATCGGACTTTGGAGGTCTTTGGTGCTTAGCCTTCGCTTTTACACCGAAAGGTAGGTATTATTTCAACCAAAAATTCGTCCACGGAGCGCAGATCAACGAATCTCCGGCAATTAATTCATTTGATATTACAAACGTAACTTTCGTTAATCCAGTAGAAGACATTCAATCTATCTATATGGACTCTATCTTTGAAGAAGGTTCGACTGAAGTTTCTCTTGATATGGTTGAGGAGGGATCATTTCGTCAGGTAACTGCTACAATTGACCCTCCTATGCTTGATCTCGCAGATGTAACATCTAGTTCAAATCAGCCGGTTAACCATTTTGTTGCAGCTAGGCAGTATCTCAAAAGTATTTTGGAACAATTTTGTATTCCGGGAATTAATATACATATCAAGTGTACTGTGGCACTGCGCGCCTCCTTACACTTGATATGTGAATTTGACACTTTACAAAACCGTTAACGTATATTTTACAACACAAACAACAACACCAACTTAACCTTAAATATTTATAAAACTGCCAACCACTTCACTTCACTAACGTTTTCACAAACGACTTCACTACTGTAAAAAATAAACGTTCTCACTTACAAAAGTATTGCAACTCCTCCCATTGCTGTGCTTCACACAATACTTCATATTCTTCAGTATCGCTGCTGTCGCTCCAATCGTCAGAGTCAAAGTCACTGTCAAAATAAATGTTAGTAAGTTTTGACAAAGCTAATGAAACACGTTTACCGTTTGTATCGTATGCTTGTATAAACTTTCCATTCTTCATTCCTTCATAAACGCTCAAACTAACTTTACCATTTCTCCCTCGTATCTGATAGAATGTATTTTCACGAGGAACGAAGAACAAATTCTTGAACTCATGACCGTTGTAGTTTGTTATCTCAATAGTTTTCGTCATTTATTTAAAAATAAAATAAAAAATAAACTTAAAAATTAATGATATCACCACCCTCACACGTATGAAAACATAGCACAAAAATAAATTTAGGGTAGATGAGTATATCTAACCCGATTTCTAACCTCTTTTCTACCTTGTTGAATTCATTGCTTTATAACTCTCTTCCTTGGTTTCTTTTTAGTTGCTTTCTTCACGTCTGTCTCCAACTTGACTGTCTTTCTTCTTCGTCCATAATGATACCAATTACTTCCACCAGTCAATGGGTCAAATGGTCGTTCATAAGGGTTTCCATACATTCCATAGGGACCATACGGAAGAACTACTGGTGGAGAAGAAACATTTTCTTTAGTTCCATCGACTCTATTTAAATGCATTGTTTCACCTTTCATCTGGTCATTAAAGTCTTTTGCGTGTTTTGCAAACTCATCGTCCTTTCCTAAAGCATTTTCTGACTCAGTCGCAACCAAATTGGATGCTTTATTTATGAGCCCTATTTTATTTAATCTTAACTTCTTTGCAACCCAGCTTCCAATCTTCCCTTTATTTGCATCTAATGTCTTCGAAACCCTTCCTCCACTCATTTTATTTACTGCGTCATAAGTTCCAAGTGCTTTTGCTCCAAATGCTAATGCTTTTGTTCCCATTGCGCCTAAAGCTGCCCAAGCTACCATTTACACCATATTAAAATCATCTCTCTTCAATATTATCTCATAAAAGTTCTCGTTACTGGAGAAAGTCAATGAAACATAAGCGTTCTCACGGGCTTCGCCCTCACCGCTTTGCGGTCTATCTAACTTCTTTCTTATCTCATCTATACGCTTCAAAATGTCTGAACAATTGCTAACATCTTCTACAACAGTTATTTCATCATGAATGACCTTCAAGAACAAGCTCATTTAATATGCTATTAAAATCATCTCAATAATGAGTCCATCCTTTCCGTCTTTGGGTAGCACAACATCTTTCATTGAATAAGGTTCGATAAGTCTTATGTTAAACTTACTGACAAAGTTTGTTATACTATAATGCTTCGGCGGCGAATACATGTAGTTTGAAAGACATAATATAGATTCTTCAGCAAATTCACTTATACTGGATTTTATAACAATGTTCTCACGAGACCAAATACCACCAATTGACAATCTTGTAAGCAATCCTGCTGAACCTTCTACTGTAAACGTCGATGGTAACATTCCACGAAGGTCATCTATTGACATCGTTGAGTCACTGTATTTAAATATTTTCTTAAAGCAATCGTCATTATCTAACCATGCAATAGCTTTGAAGTTTTCATTTGAATATACATCTGCTTCATTAAATGTAAAACCTGACTTCTTTGCAGAGATGACTTTAAAATCTATTGAGTTTGTTTCAAAATTATATGCTATGGTAACTTCTGAAGGTAATGGATGCCCTTCCGCAGTCAGTTGTTCTCTCACTACCGTTTGAAGCTTTGTATTAAAAACTTTCATGTCATCTCCTGTATCTAAGTTCACATACACAGCAACAGGGAAACTATCTTGCTTCTTTGTTTCATCATTATATCTCAAAACATTAAAGTTCTTCAATAATATTGTTCTTCCTGCTGGAATACTTCGAACCTGTCTGATTTCAATAGCTTTCTCACCTCCTACATACTCTACCCAGTGTCTTGGATATTCATAAGTATACTGACTTTCTTGAATTTTGGTTGGTTTCATCATAACGTGTTCATAGTATATCTTTATACTCTTGTCAGTTAGACTCGGTGCTATGTTCTGAATATTTCTGACTTGCATTTTTAATGGAGATAAAATGAAGCATTTAATACATGACGTAGATGAAGACATGAATGAAAGCTGTGAAAAGCTCAACAGTTCTCTCATTCTTCCTTTCAGTAAGGACTATGAGTTCTGTTCAAATGGTGTGTATTTCTATTGTGGAAAGATGGGTTCAGGTAAGACATTTAACCTCATTCGTCATATACTCATAACAGAACGTTTAGGAAACGACTCTTACTATGACCAAATCATTATATCAGCAACTTCAGACTCTATGGACTCAACAGCGAAAACATTTATGTCAAAAGTTCAAGCCTCTGTCGTTAAAGTTCCAGACAGTGAACTCATTGAATTTCTTCAACGTTACATTCGACGTAAGAGGAAATATTATGTCATCGTTGAATTTATACAGTCAGGAATGCAAAAGACTTCAGAAGAGATGGAAAGAATTATTGACAAACACCACTTACGTCAGTACTCAGGAGTTTACGATATGAAACGACTGACAAACTACATTCTATCAAAACTTTCAAAATACCCCTTCAAAAAGTATCCTTCAAACACTCTGCTCGTTTGTGACGACTTCGCCGGAAAAAGGTTTAGTGTCAAAACCAGACTCACCATTAGCTAACATCATTACTAAAGTCAGACATTACCACTTAACTGTAGCAATACTTATGCAAACATGGAGGTTTTTAGCTTTAAACATAAAACGTCTCATAACTGACTTCGTTATCTTTCAAGGTTTCTCACGTTATGATATTGAACTCATTTGGAAACAGTCAGGTATAACATTACCTTTTGAAGAAATTTGGGAAGCATATAAGTCTCTCATCTCTCCTCGTTCATACCTCGAGATTCATATCATGACTAATACCATTAAAGTCAAAAATATTACATGGGAACGACCAACATTGTTTTAAAGTTTAACCTTCAATTGACTGATGGTAAACAAATTCCATGCATCTCTGTCGCCATTTCTGTTAATATTTTTGCTGTCATTCATATCATCCACTTCCCCATCCGTTAGCTTTTGAGGATATGCGTTAGAATAGCTGTTCTTAAATGAAGGCTTTTCACCTTTGAGAGCATAAACTCTATAACTTTCTGCATACTTTATGTTTGAACCTCCCGAGCCATCATTGACATAAATTTTTATAGGCTTCCACCCTTTGTTCATGTTCCTGCTTCTTCCCTTTGCTCTTTTGTTCAGTAGTTCTACATCTTTATACACAGCTCCTGTCTCAGTGAATTCAACAATATTTTCATTCGTTAGCTTTACATTCAAACCCTTGTCGAGTATATTGTTCATTTCATACATATAAAAGGTTTTTATTCTATATGAAATGAGAAGCAAATCCATCTTAGCTGGTGCCGTTAATGTTCCAATTGAACCAACATCAAATGTTGACTCACGAACGACAAACAATATTGTCATAAAGAACTATAGTTCAGAGTGTTTGAAAGAAAAAGAACCAGAACTTAAGTCGGGACCTTCGGTCTTGGAGCATGGCGCCGTGAATTTAAACTCAGCTTCAAACGCTAACGCTACATCAGATGTTAAGTTAGAGTATCCACCACTGGAGCAAATTCTTTCAAGAGAAGCCAACGACAACCCTTACACAAATGTTCAAACAAATCCTTCAGATAACGTAGACCATTATCTTCTTCAGTTATACCAAACTATCTTACTCAAAGACGATAAGAAGCTTTTGGTAAATCTTATAAGTAAGAACCAAATAATTCTAACAAAGGAGGATTTAGAAAATGTTATATCACGAATAACAGGGAAACAATGTGTCATTGACTATCTCGACCCTGAAATCGAATGCTGTGGTCAAACTCCACTATTCATGAAAATAGGTAACATCCGCATCATTGAAACACCAGGAACTACAGGAGTTGAGTTTAAGTATAAATATTCGAACGAGTATACAAAACTATCTACTGACTATAAGCTTTGTTTGAAATATGTTTTAGTAAATTAAAGCAATTTGTAATATCTATCCAAAACTTCTTCAACAGTATCGAACTCATCTTCATAATGCAAACCTAATCTTATTGACTTGGTGCAGTTTTCACTAACACAATATTTTTCTGTTCTCTTGACTGACATAACTAACTCATTTGTTTCATCAAACAGCAACAACCAAAGTTCATGACCTAATACATAACATTCATACTTTATATTTTTAGCTCTGAGTTCTCTTGTAAGCTGTTGCATTTAATATTTCTAAAAAGTCAACTTCAACAGTCATTCGCACTGGTGCCTTCAGTTCTACAGGCTCTCCTTGAAAGTCAACAAGTCTGAATTGCATGTCTTTCAAATTATGAGGACTAATGCGAACCCATTTACCTAAATGAGTTGCTATGACAGGAACGTTTGGAATGAACATTGAATTGACTGCATAACAAAGACTTATATTCTACTGAACCTTTACTATTAACTCCTGAAATGCCTGTGACATTAGCTATTTTAGACTCAATGTACAAACAATTGCCATAACATACATATGGAACAGATTTCATCTCAATCGTTTTGTCAACACTTTTCAAAGGAAATGTCATATGGTATGCACCCAAAAGAAGTTGTACTCTATGACTCATTCTTGGTATCTTAAACTCTTTCGCATAACTGAACTTCAATGTTCCCTCAGAAGAGAGTTCGACATCTATGTTGTCAATAGTTTCTTCATTTATGAGAGTATCCATGACTCCAGCAATTTTATCTATTCTATACCCAGCTCTGTTAGGAAATGTTATAACACTTCTTTTGTCATCTATTTCAATCTCTATGAAATCTGTTTCATCTGTTATGACAAAAGTTGCGATAGTATTGAAGTCAACAACTCTGAAAGCAAGTGCTTCATTCTGAAGTCCTAAGTTTGTTTGTAGCTTTACTGTCCCGTATTCGTTTGGGTCTGTACTTTGCAAATAGAACAACATTTTATTCTCATTAAAATATGACTATTGCTGCATATGCGTATGAAACAAATGAAGCAAGAAGAGCACATGAACTAGTAAACGAAAACTCAACTTTAACAGTGGAAGGTAACAATTTAGTCATTGACGATGGTAAAACTAAAAAAGTCATTGATTTCGATACTTTTAACACTTATGACCCATTCATTACAATAAGTAAAGTTCCTATCATAAATGATGGAACGGTGCAATATATAAATTCTACAGTAGATGCCTCATTAGTGAAAGTATTAAATGTTCTCATTGAATTGTTAAAGAGCTTTCGATTTGACGACAACATTAAATGCCTAAAGAATTTAGTCATGAATGAGAAACAAATTCTCGGCGTTGCTGGTAGCAGTAATGATGTACACCTTATGACATTAGAATATTATAACGAACATAAAGATGAACTGAAAGGAGAGAAGGGTGACACTGGAGCTCAAGGACCACAAGGACCACAAGGAATACAAGGAATACAAGGAATACAAGGCGAAAGCGGTTTGGATGGTGAAGATGGAAAGGATGGAAAAACTGCTAAATCATGGATATGGAACCTTATAAATACTGGTTTAACAGCTGCTTCATATGGAGTTCTTCAATACCAAATCGGAAAGATATGGGCAGTACTTGGTGAAGAAGTTTTAGATGACGTTAAAAATGCTTTGAACTTCATTTCAAATGGTTCGGATACTATTAAAACTTTATCTGGTTGGATGCAAGAAACAAGGAGTCAAATAGATACTGTAAGACGTATAGCAAACAATGCACGTACGGGATTGGATACTTTACGAGAAGCACAAAATACACTAAAGGAAGCAAATGATATTCTTGGCTCAGTATCAGACATGCATGAAGATTGGCTTAAAGGTATTGACAAATCTTTAAAAAATCACAGTCAGTCTATTGCTGACTACAAGAAAAGTATAGATTTTTTACATAGTGCTATGGACGTACATGATGGAAGCATAAGGAACTTACTTAATGCTAACAATAACTTACCAGGAACTATTAAAGCATTTATAAAGTCCTTTGTAAAACCTGGTGCTCTAACATTTAGGTCTTTGAGAGCAAGAGCATTGAAGTCAAGAGATGCAGAAACTCCAACAGAACCTACAGAAGGAACTGAAACAACAGAAACTCCAGAAGAACCACCAAAACCAACAGCTAATGAAATATTGTTCGAATATTTTCCAAGGTACTCTGTTCTCATTGCATACATTCAAGAAATACTTAAGAAAGCAGACTTGACTTTAGGAGATGATGAAAGTTCTGTATATCTTTCGTTCCAGTTTCAAATAGCAGAACTTGTGAGACAGATATGCTTAATGTATGACAACATCTCTGATTTCACAAGATATGATGACGACCATGACCCCGAACACGGTGAAGAAGAAGTTTTACAAACATCCATTAAGACAGGAAAGGTTTTAACTCAAAGTCTCATTATTGACACCAAAGATGGCGAAGTGGACGTTCTTCAAGAGCTGAAGAAAAATACTTCTGAAGGAGGTGGTGGTAGGCATGAACTTGAAATAAATGAGATAGAAGAGAAATTAGCCGAAAAAGCAGATAAAAACCATGTTCATTATATAAGTTCAGACGAACAGATTATAACGGATTATCATGGATATTTAACACAGGATGAACAAATAAGCACTGAAGATGTTAATGAAAGAAGATATAAATACATTCGTGCTAAAGGTTATGACATACACTGTACTGTACAGTATGACACAGGTAAAGCACAAGAAGCATTTGGTTATAACGATGAAATATATGCTTCGTATTTCTTTGTTAACGGTGTATTAGTTGAACCAAGATTTACTTTGAGAGTTAAGGCAAAAATAACTTTTGAAGATGCTATTAAAAGTAAAGCTGACAAAGATGAACTTGACGCAGCGAACAAAGTTTTGAAATCTCATAAACACAATATCTCCGATATAAATGAACTTCAAGCTACATTAAATAGTAAAGCCGACAAGAACCATACACATAAATCCTTCACTACTGTTAGAGCAGACGACATAATATTGAACTATGATTTGGGTTCAAGTGCACCTTTAGAGAATCCGAGTACAAGCGTAAAAGATACACTTAACAATTTAGATAACTATTGCAGGAATATCGAAGATCATGTCAGAAACTTTGAAACACATGAACTACCAGCAATGTTAGATAAGAAAGCCGACTAAGATGAACTTGACGCAACGAACAAAGTTTTGAAATCTCATAAACACAATATCTCCGATATAAATGAACTTCAAGCTACATTAAATAGTAAAGCCGACAAGAACCATACACATAAATCCTTCACTACTGTTAGAGCAGACGACATAATATTGAACTATGATTTGGGTTCAAGTGCACCTTTAGAGAATCCGAGTACAAGCGTAAAAGATACACTTAACAATTTAGATAACTATTGCAGGAATATCGAAGATCATGCCAGAAACTTTGAAGCATATGAACTACCAACAATGTTAGATAAGAAAGCTGACAAAACAGAGCTTCAAACATTAAAGACTGAAATACTTCAAACATTATATCCTGTTGGTTCTATTTATACGTCAATGAACTCAACAAATCCCGCAACAGTTCTGGGTTTTGGTACGTGGAAGCAGATTGTAGATAAATTCTTATACTGTGCTAACTATTCAAAGCAAACAGGAGGTTCGAAGAAAATTAAAGAAGCAAACTTACCTGCGCGCACTCATACAGGAACGACAAACTTTTCTGGCGACCATAGCCACTCATTAAGAGACCACCCATTATACAACTCAGAGTATGAAGCTGGCAATGACGTTTTATCTACATCTTATAACAATTCAGCAAAAAAGATTTTTCGACCAACTGAACCGGGAGGTAATCATTCACACACTTTCACAATAAATCCAACAGGCTCGGGTGCAGATTATATGCCATCATTTATGACTGTATTCGCATGGTACCGCGTTCATTGAACGCGCTTGAGCCTAGAATAAAATCTTTAACTTTACATAAATGAGCTTGAAAGAAGTATTCGAACAACATCCATGGAGGTCATTTAAGAAGTTCAATGAAGCTGCAAAGAGTTGGGGATTTACTAACAGAGCTGAAGTGAAAAGGTTCTTTGACAAAAATGTTGTACATCAAACAAAAATAAACCCTTACGACTACTTTTTACCAATTTACTCCAACGCTCCTGACGCATACCAATTTGACACTCTCGTTCAAAGCAGAAAAGGAGGACATAACCCATTCCTCATCTTCATTAATGTTAACACTCGTAAAGCATATGCATATCCAATGAAAAATAAAGGAACTCGTGAAGTTTTAAGAGTTTTGCAGACGTTCGTGGCAGAACATCATCCCACTTCATTAACTTCAGACCAGGATTCAGCATACCTCAGTAATGAAATCACAGATTTTCTCATTAAGCATAACATAACTCACTACACTACTGAAGACCATAACCATAACATACTCGGCATCATAAACCGCTTCATAAGAACGCTCAGAGATTTAAACCAAGAGCGAGACTTTACCGAAGAAACAATGAAACACTTTCTCGAAGTATATAATTCCTCAACACACTCTACAACAGGACATACACCAAATTCAATGACACAACAACAAGAAGAAAAGTATATACAAAAGAAACAAAGTCAAACACAAAATATCAGAAATTCAACACAATTTACCCTCATTCCTGATACAAAAGTTCGTGTAGTTCTTGACGACAAACCGTTGACAAAGAAACGTTTAAGGTTAAGTAGAAACTATTATATCGTAGACTCTACGCAAGGTAATGGATACTTTATAAAAGCTGCTGACGACTCTATTGCGTTTTACCCTCGTCATAAATTAGTTGAAAGTAGTAATGGCAAACTTGCTGAAACCATTGACGAAGCAAAGCGAGGAGTGGTTATTGAAATACTTGGCTATAACATAAACGATGACACTTATAAAGTAAGATATGAAGGAGGCGTTGAAGATGTTATACCATCTAAGAACTTGAGAGAGTCAAAGCCAACAATCTGGGACCATTAGAGCGGGAGTACTGGAAAGATAAAAATAAGCTAGAAAGATAAGAAAATTTTCTAAACTTTTTCATTTTGTTGCTGAAAAATGACCAAATTTCATGAATTTTCATAAAGATAAAAATAAAGTTAGTTTTATTTTTATTTATTTTTTATTTTGTATGTAAGACAGTAGTGTCAAACATTGAGTTTGAAACAGTAAGAAAGATTGACAATGACACCAAAGTGGTTAGAATGGTGATTTAAACGTAAGCTACTGTAAGAAATACAACAAATATTCTTTGTCAGACATTATAACACCTTCTGGAAAGAAAACAAAGGACTGGGTTAGAATTGCTTCTACTCAGAAAAATTTTGACAAGAAATCCGAGCTCATGATATCGGTAAGATTCTATGGAACCACAGCATATCTCATTGACAAAAGTCTTATACCAATAATTCTTCTGTGGATTGACCCTGTTGTTGGATATAACTTCATAACTTATGGTTCATTCGACTCAGAACGTTGCAGTGAAGGCTTACTTTACATCGTTCAGAAACCGAAGGACTTCAATACAAAGAGATATAAGATAGGAAGAACATATAATATAACTCAAAGATATGACTCTACCGTCAATAGAGTCAAGGTTGTGTTTGTTAATGATATGAGAGCCGCAGAAACAGAACTACTCGAAAAGTTTGAGAAAATGTATGGTGCTCCCATAAAAGGTAAAGAAACGTTTGAAGTAGATGAGATAGATAAAGCTATAAAATTATTTGACGAAGTTGCTGAAAAATACATGTAAAGCGTTTATTTTTGGTCTTTGTGAAAGTCAGAAAATAACGCTAATTTTTTTCTAACAAAAATTTTTATCTTGTATGTAAAGACAGTAATGTCAACATCAGAGAACACAAAACTGCTATCGTTCATGAAGTCATAAATGAAGAATACGAGTACATACAGTATAACACAGTTACGTCTCATTCGTTCAGTCAAAGACGATATGTACCAAATGCAAAGTATAATGAATGCTCTTTGTTCTACAAAGCAAGCATATCATTGGTTTGAAAACCAACAGACAAAAGAACTTTTAGAAGAATTTCCTCATATGATTGCTTTGCAGAATGAAGAGATTCCGTATGAAAATCGCAAGAATTTGGCTCCTGGTTTGAAAGGTTATTAATGTTCATAGACTTTTAGTAAACGCTGTAGCAATGTGGGCTTCACCTCGTTATGCTTGTTATATTTTCATGATGTTAGATGAACTATATAAAGCAAAAGATGAAGTCATTGAATCCAAAGACAAAAGCATACAGAAAAGAATACCGCGTTCAGTACCAAAAGGAAAGGAAAAGAGTTATAAGTATATGATATATACTGAAGAGTTGGAGAAAGAAGAAGACAGAGATATGGTTATGTTGCATTTAGTGAGAAGAAACAACAAGAGCTTTTACGACTTAGCTAAGATATATAAATCTGACAGAAACTGGTTCTATCGTGAAAACTTACCGATTTCAATGACACCGAATGAACAAATAAAGGAAATTGTCAAAAATACTCTTCCTCAAACACACTATGACATCAAAGGTTGCACAATACTTACATTCAAAGAAGACTTAACATTACTGAAGGAAAAAATAACAGAATATTTCGACAACTTCAAAGAGGAAGAATGAAAAAAAAATCTCGTCGGGTGCCACGTTAGGACCATAGTGGAGAAAACCATGATAAAAAACAAAACCCTTCGTCAAGTTTATTTTGTTTTTACCATTTAATTGTTTCCATAAACGCTCCATGTCGAACATAATTGACGAAGAGAGAATCGTCTGATCGTCAAGTTTATTTTGTTTTTACCATTTAATTGTTTCCATAAACGATAACATAAACGATAACATTAACGATAACATAAACGATAACATAAACGATAACATTAACGATAACATTAACGATAACATTAACGATAACATAAACGATAACATAAACAATAACATTAACGATAACATAAACGATAACATTAACGATAACATTAACGATAACATTAACGATAACATAAATGCTCCATGTCAATTATGTTCGACACTGATAACATTAACGATAACATTAACGATAACATTAACGATAATAAATGCTCCATGTCAATTATGTTCGACACTGATAACATTAACGATAACATAAACGATAACATTAACGATAACATAAACGATAACATTAACGATAACATTCATTTTTGCATTAATCCTGCTGTGTTGTCAAAATGTCATGTTGTCATCATTTTTAAGAGAAGTTAATTAACCTGGTGACAATAGTGACGTGGTGACACCATCAGTTATTCAAAATAAATTTTCTTATAAAGCTTCAGGGTCAATTTCTTCAACCATTTCACTTCCTTCGTCAATGTCAATAGAAGCTTCTTCAACCTTTGGTAAGAATTTCTGTATAACATCTTTGTTCGTTATTGTCTTCAGAGATGAAGGATAATATTTCACAGATGTTTCACCTTCTTATATTCTTTCTGTTCGGAAAGATTTAAAGCAATACTGAAGAAGTCAACGTTAGAGTTCTTTATGACAGTATAATGAGTATCTTTGACATTCACGAAGAAACTCTTTTGTTTCAAAACTACTGCTAACTCTTGTGAAGTATAACGTTTGCGGTCAATGACGATAGCTAATGGTCTGACATACTGACCAAACTTAGATTCTTTCACAAACTTCTTGTTAAAGATAACATTAACATTTGAAGCATTATTGAACTCATTCTTGATGGCAGTAGCGAGAGCATTGTATGAAAAGAACTTGCAATCTTGCATGTGTTTCATTAAAATAAAAATATTAAATTATTTTGAAAAATAACTTAAAAAATCTAATCTAATTTTTTCAAAAAATATTTTTTTATTTCCTACTAAAGATGTATCGGAAGTTGTCTAAGTTAGAACACTCGGAAATAAAACAACTTCTTGCAGAAGCTAATATAGATGTTGCAAAGCATTACGCAACAAACAAAAAAGCACTCGCTGACATCCTCAATGACTATAATGGTGCAATAAGTTATGATAGAATTCATGAGTTCATAAAGCCGCAACGCGGCAAGGACGAAGTCCATGCAAGAGCATTTCCTTTAAATGACGTTGCTATTGACTTATATCATAGACGTTCAGTACCTCATGAAGTAAGAAGAGAAATGTTTGACATAACAAATGCAAACGTTGGTGAAACAAGAAGAAGAGACGACACACTGAAACAACAGAGAAGAGAGATGTTTAAGAGCGCTATAGAACAAGTTCGCAAAGCTAACGATGTCCTTCGTTCCATTGACGACAAACCAAAAGAAGGTGAGAGATGGTTAAAGAAAGATGAAGAGAATAGGAAGAGGAATGTTAAGACAGGCAATAGACTCATTGACTTTAACATCGAAGCTTTAGATGAACCAAACAGAGACTACTTACACAAACATTTCGGTAAGGTTTTCATGAGACTCTTAGAGAAGATTAAAATAAACTCACAACAGAGATGGATGGTATGTTATAAACTTGGTGGAAAGTATGAATGTTCTACGTTAAACCTCAATAATATTGGAACATTACTACATCAGCTCTTGAAGGAGAACTTTATATCAGAGATAGAAGCAAATGCTGCAGGTATTGTTGAAATGCACTATGACTTCTTCTTGACAAACATAAAGAATCTTACTGAAATAAAGATGTATGATTTAACAGAATATGAAGGCTTAACGATGTCAGATGTAAAGAAAGGCAAACCAAAAAAGAGACCATATAGAGATGAAAGCACACTGACAAATGACCAGAAAGCCATTTTGGAAGCTCTTAAGCAAACAGGAAACCCAGCACTTATAGAAAGCTTTTGGAAAGATAATAGTGAAAAGAAGTTTTATAAGAAGAGAAGCGGTCAGTTCTGGAAGTATCTTTGCACATTACCTATAAATCTTGAGCGCTACCAAATCTTCAATGAACTGAACAAAAGAACTGCAGCACTTATGACAGAAGACAATTGTTTCGTTTATGCTTGCATTCAGGCTGGAGTAAATGAAGAAACTATTGACCACATGAGAGAAGTCATTCGTGTTAGAGACTTTCCTCAAAGTAAAGTACAAGAAATTTCTGACGCAACAGGTATAGCATTTAATGTTACCATTGGTTATTTCAATGACTCAAGACATAATGAAATAAAGAGATACATACCAAAAGAATGTGAAACTGTTAGAACTATTGACTTACTTCTTGTTGAAGACCACTACATGCTAAATGAAAGATTACCAATGACAACATATTTCATTCACAACTATATAGAAATCTTGAAGGAGTGTGGTGGAATGAACATTGAGAAACAGATGAAGATTTATACAAAGAGAGAGAACAAATATATTGTTCGTTATGATAGAACAACACCGTTATGGGATGTTATGAAAACATTGTGGGAGTGCAAATATTTCGAACCTATTTCTTATGGAGAACTTTTCACATATACGACTGACTTATATAAACAGAACCTTGCACCATTTAAAGATTTGACATATGCTCCAAAGTATTGTGTACAACTGAAGAAGAAAGCCGAGTCAAAAGAAGTAAATAAAAATAAGTGCAAGTTCATTCCTGAGCACGTTTTCTTTGCTGACTTTGAATGTAGCACTGATGGAGTTCATAAAGCCTTTAACATTTGTTATGACAGTGAAGATGGTTCAGTGAGTGAAAGCATTTGGGGTCAGAACTGTGCAACAGAATTTTTGGAACGACTTCCTGACAAGAGTTTAATATATTTCCATAACCTCAGTTATGATATAAACTTCATCTTAAGACACATGACAGAAGTGAAAGGAACTCCCATCAATAAAGGTTCACGAACAATGCAAATAACGGGAATATATAAAGGTAAAGCAATCATTATTAAAGATTCATACACTGTTATAAATAAGAAGCTTAAACTATTTCCTGAAATGTTTCATTTGCAGTGTGATGAAAAGGAAGTATTTCCGTACAACTACTACAGCAGTGTTTTGTTAGCAAATGATAACAGAACTGGTGTCATTTCTGAAGCGTGTAAGTTTATCCAGGATGTGGATACGTTCATGAAAAACATAGATTCCATCAAAGGTTGCAGAATAGATGAAAACCATTTCGATTTAGAAAAGTATAGCACATTTTATTGCAAACAAGATGTAAGAATTTTAAGAGAAGGTTTTGTTAAGTTCCGCAATGACATATTGAAAGAATTTGATTTAAACGTTTATGACTACGTTAGTATTTGTTCTATTGCTAACAAATTGTTTGAGAACAGAGTGTACTTCCCGAATGGAAATTTATATGACCTCTCAAATAAACCAAGAGAATTTATTTCACGCTGTATTCAAGGTGGAAGATGTATGCTGTCAGATAACATTAAACAAAAGAGCGAAAAGAAACCCATTGCTGACTTCGACGCTGTTTCATTATATCCATCCGCTATAGCAAGACTTTATACTTTAGAAGGTATACCGAAAGTATTGAAGAAAGAAATGTTAAGCACAGAGTATCTCATGAAACATTTATTCGATGACGACCAAAAGGAACCCATTGGTGAAAAGTTTATGTCTGGCTTCTTTGTTCTCATTAAGATAACAGAGATTGGAATACATAGACACTTTCCTTTCATAGTTTGTGACCCTGAACTAAATCCAGAACTTAACATTCCCAGAAGTTCAAACACTTGCTGTTTAATGTATGTTGACCATATAACATTACAAGACCTCATAAAATATCAAGGTGTCAAATGTGAAGTGTTGCAAGGATACTATTACGATGGAAACAGAGATATTAGAATAAGAGATGAAGTAAAGAAGTTGTTTGAGTTAAGGTTAAAGTATAAGAAAGAAGGAAATCCTTTGCAAGAAAATATAAAGCTCATTCTGAACAGTATTTATGGCAAAACTATTCTATCTCCTATTGAGTCAAAAATAACCATAGTAAATGACAAAGATGCTATAAGATATGCCATCAGAAACTACAACCATATAGTGAAGTTCGAAGGTTTGGATGGTTCAGATAAAACTATTTTCAAGCTAACGAAAAGCATTTGCAGACACTTTAACTTCTGTCCACTTGGTGTTAACATTCTGTCTATGTCAAAACGTATTATGAATGAAGTATTCTGTACTGCTGAAGATATGGGACTTCAAATATTTTACCAGGACTGTGATAGCATGCATATTTTCAATGAAGACATACCAAAGCTTGCAGCAGAGTTTAAGAAGAGATACGGTCGCGAACTTATAGGAAAGAACCTTGGTCAATTTCATTCTGACTTCGCAGAAATAACACCTGGAAAACAAAGTTTAGCATACAAGTCAATATTTTGTGGAAAGAAGACCTACATAGACTTACTCACGAATGATTTAAATGAAGTTGCATTCCATGCACGTTGTAAAGGTGTAAAACAAGACGTCCTTGCTTTAACAGCTAATGAAATGTTTCCTGAAGCTATACAATGCTATTACAATGAAGATAAGAACATTCACATACCTGTTGGAACATATGACAAAGACTCTGAGTTCAGTTTAATGAAACTTTACAAAGCACTTCATGATGGTCAAGAGATTGCATTCGACTTATGTAAGTCTTCTAGTCCTTGCTTTGCTGAAAAGTTTAACTTCTCAATAACGACTAAAACAAGCTTTATTCGTAAGTTGAAGTTCTGAGGTCATTTATTTTTGTCAGCAATGAGGTCATGAATGAGGTCATGAATGAGGTCATGAATGAGGTCATTTATTTTTGTCAGCAATGAGGTCATGAATGAGGTCATTTATTTTTGTCAGCAATGAGGTCATGAATGAGGTCATGAATGAGGTCATTTATTTTTGTCAGCAATGAGGTCATGAATGAGGTCATTTATTTTTGTCAGCAATGAGGTCATGAATGAGGTCATTTATTTTTGTCAGCAATGAGGTCATGAATGAGGTCATTTATTTTTGTCAGCAATGAGGTCATGAATGAGGTCATTTATTTTTGTCAGCAATGAGGTCATGAATGAGGTCATTTATTTTTGTCAGCAATGAGGTCATGAATGAGGTCATTTATTTTTGTCAGCAATGAGGTCATGAATGAGGTCATTTATTTTTGTCAGCAATGAGGTCATGAATGAGGTCATTTATTTTTGTCAGCAATGAGGTCATGAATGAGGTCATTTATTTTTGTCAGCAATGAGGTCATGAATGAGGTCATTTATTTTTGTCAGCAATGAGGTCATGAATGAGGTCATTTATTTTTGTCAGCAATGAGGTCATTCGTGATAAAAATAAAACTAGCGTAGATTTTACAATACTGCGATGGTAGAGTTTAAGAGTTGTGCTTCAATGTAGAGACAGTCCTTATGGTCTGGAGGTAAGAACACTGGTGCTTTATGGTCATGAGTGGAGAACATGTCTATCCAAAACTCACGATTGAAGCCAGTTAATTTATAATATTTAGGGTTAGGAAGTGGTGAAGTTCTTGTATGACCAATGAACTCATTTTCAACTCCCTTACTTAAGTTTGAATATAATATAGCTTGCTTTCTATCCCAAATACCTGGAAATCTAATTTCGGAAAATTCATTTTTCCTTGGAAGCATTGCATCATAATTGAAAACATTCTTGAAATCATCACTTGGTTCAGAGATTTGAAATCTTATACGTAATGGATTTTTTTTCTCTTTACCGACTTCATTGAATGGTGAGAATACAATGAATTGACAGTCATGAGTTCCATCTTCATTTGGTACAAACTCGTAATGAAAAGCTATTAATCTTTCTACAATTCCTTCTTCGTTCAGTTGTGCAAGAAACTCACGTAAAGGCTGTAAAGTTTGTACTTCAATGTTAAACTTCTTTTGAAAATTTTCGTAAAATGTAATTATACAGTCTTCTAACGTTGTACTGTTTTTAAAGTATTTGTATATGTGAATGTTTTGGGCGCTTAAAGACTGTTCGTCATTTTCTATCTCGACTTGAAGTATAAAGTCAACCTTTCTGAAAGCATGTGTTATATACATAGATGTTATGCCAATGTACTTCTCTTCATTTATGTTCACAATCCAGTCTGTTGGAAACTTAAACGTTACTCTGTTCCCCTTTATTTTGACGTCAGGGTTTTCACTACTGAACGCAACAGATAAAGGTATTTGTCTATACATTTAGTTCCGATAAAAATAAACCATTTACTCTTTCTTTGCTTCAGCTTCTTCTCTAGCTTTTGCTTCAGCTTCTTCTCTAGCTTTCTTCGCCAGCAAACGTGGGTTCTTCTGTCTTCCAGCAGCTAATGCAGCAAGTTGTTTTTCACTAAGTTTTCTCTTTGGTCTCTCTGGCTTTTGTTCTTGTTTTTGTTCCTTCAGTTCGGATAAAATTTGCTCACGAATTTCTTTCTTCAATGCTTCAACATCTATGACCCCTTGGGTCTTGTCCGTAGGGCTTGTCTGAGTCATTTGACTGCAGATAAAAAACAAAATTAAAACTTTAACCGATGTAAAATGAGCTTGTCAAAATCAGAGCGAGAGTCTATTATATTAAATGACGCAAGAGGAATACAACATCCTTTCTATTACGTAAGTCAGAGTAAAGATGGTAAAATATACGTAAGAAAAAGAAAGGTTCCATTAGCGAATGCAGAAAGCG